TTTTTTTATTATGTTCACTCTTTCAAGTAATTAAAAGTAACATTTTCTGAGGATATTATTTTGCTAGATTTTTATGTTTTATAAAAAAGAAGACTTTTGTATCGGATAAATATTTTAGGGATCTTTTGACAAAGGTAAAAGAAAATCCCAAATAGATTTAAAAATGTAACAACTCTTTGTGCAACAATGATAAATATCTGCCCTCTTTCATACAAAAGTATTTAAAATTGCAGACAGGGGATTTGTGAAACAGAATGAATGTGTTTTATATAACACACATAGACAGTTCTATCTTTTAGGTTAAATTCATTCCTCTGTCAACCCTGTATTCAAGTTTATTTCCTTAAGCCAACTGGCTCATCAGGGTAGTTATATATACACAATAATAAGAAGAGAATAAAAACATACAGAGAAAGTGAAGGTAAAAAACACATACATGAAAATAATACTATACATTATTATTATTTTTCTTAACATTGTAGCAGCATTCAAAAAATAATTAATACAGCATGAGGACCAAAATAAAGTCAAGCAATGAAAACAATAATCTACAAATAAATGAGTTAAATCTATAGTAAAATTATACGAATTTAGAAATATTGAAAATTTGTATTTACCAGGTGGAAGAACATAAAAATTCATAATCTACTTATTTCATATGTGAAACAGTATCGGACTAAAGCTTCATGGTTTTAAAAACAATTCTTCAATAAAACAAGAAGTTGGTCAAAAGGATGTTTATAAAATGATAAAGGTGATGACTTCATTTTTTCTATTCTCAACTTCCATCACTTGTAGCCAAATATCTCTATCAACTACATAGAGCTTATGTCTCCCAGTTGATTAGATACACAAAAGCATCCTCTGAGTATGAGCAATTTCTGTAACGAGGCAAGTTATTGACATAGATGTTGATGAAACAATGATTTCACCAAATTCGTTTAAAGCCATAATTTCGCTATAAATTGGTCGATACAATGACCGTGTTATCAAGTGCAATCTACCATTAAGTCGACTGCCGACTGACATTTTTCATACTAAATGTTATTTCATTATTTACACATTGAACTGCCTACGTATTTTTCCCGTTTGTACAATTATGACAAAGAGCACACGACGTTTATGATCGGTCGTCAAGAGATGCTTACTCCTTCATGGCACCTGATCACGTTTAAGAATTGAGTGTTCCGCTCCCATTGGTATTATTTGAGTAGACTTCAGATCTACATTATTGTATTTTATCTTTATATTTCATGTATCCCTAAACTGTTACTGGAAATTATGTCACAAGAGATGCATTGATGTCTTAGTGTGTTTTCCGTAGGAAAAATCCGGTTATGTAAATGGTGAATTACATGGGCATTTTTATATGCAGGATAACTCCTCCTACAGTTTTCAAGGTTGCAATGGGAACTTTTATTTTGCAGTTTAGAGATTTGTGCGTTACTTAGAGTTTGATTTTTGACTGATTTTGATAATGTAGGGATTTTTTGAACTGTTTTTTTGTTTTTACAGATTATTGCAAATAGGTGGCATCATTTGCTTGGAAATCTCATATACTTTATATTTTTCAGTTTTAGTGAAGATCTTTTTAATTCTGCAGATCAACTGTACATGTACATTTAACAGACATATGTATATTACTTAGATTATGATTTGTTTTGTATTATGTTTTGTATTGTGATTCCTTATTTAAAAAAAGAGCTGTTGAGTTAAAGCATTTGTTTGAGAAAAAAAAAATCATGTATAGGATAAATCATTTGTCTGGATAAGTCCTCCTACAGATTTCAAAATGTAATCTTGAAATCTAAACACATTAAAATCTGAACACATTAGTTGGGTGTTTATTATATATATATATATATATATATATATATATATATATATATATATATATATATATATATAGAAAGCAAATTCACTTTTACATGGATACCCACTGTTTAATATAATCTGTCTCCTAGCAGTGCAGGAACAGCGCGCTAGACCTCTATCTAGGCAAGTCTAAAAACTTGCTTTCGATGCCGATTTATAGAATTTTGAGAATAGAAGTGAGATAAAGTTATATACATATATATATAAATATATTTAAGACAAGTACTAGCAATTGAAAATACGACACTCCTTTTTGCAGTTTTTCATTAAATTACAGAAAAAATCTTACTATTTATAGTAGGTGCGAAACTCTCATTATTTTGTGGTATAATTAATGCGTAGAATCAGACAGCTTTCAGACTGGTCAAGTGTCTCAATTATTGGAGTCTTCTCTCAATTTCTTCTGTATTTATTTTTCATGTTATATTAAACGTGTACATGTTAGCAAACATTTTTAATATCGTAAAAAAATATTTTAATGAAGTTATTTATTTTATTCTAAAATCATTTCATACTTTGTTACTAAATTTCATTTTATGACAATTTCATCTGATATAAACATGACTTGTTTAATGACATACATTAATTTATTTTTTGTAAATCGGACACTGTTTGTAAGCGGCGCTATACACGTCATGTGAAAAGTGAAAGTAAGTTTTCGGGAAGCTTTCATGACTATCCCTTGCTTGAGAAAGTGGGCCCACTCGATTGGGACCCTTCTAGAAGTAGAGTGGAATGTCAGAAGGGTTGGAATATGTATGTCTAAATCGAGTGTTCAGAAGGATACTGAATATGATGGAATATCTTCTGCAATGTTTTGAATTATTTTCCAAGAATTTGAATCCTTTAATTTAAAACATTTAAAAATGTTAGAAAGGGAAACTTGAAGAGACAATTAGGAGTGGAAAAAATTTATTAAATATAATAATTTTGGGAACTTTCTATTTATGTAAAAAAAGGTAAACACCAAGTACCTGAGACAGAATAATATTAAACTACATCTATAAAAAAAAAATTAAAATAATTATAGTCACATCAGGGACCTATCTATGGCTGAAATCTTCACCCATATTACATAGTAAATTATGAATCTGTGTTCGATGGTTGATTTTACTGCAATAACATAACAGAAAAATGTTTCTTAACAGAATTACCCTTCATAAATTATAAAAGTACTTTTTTGCCTCACTTTAAATCAAAATTATGGCTCTAGCTATACTCCACTGAACGTGATTGAAGTCAACTTAGAAAGTCATAAAAACGAGTAACCACACACGTAAACTCTAGAAGGCCTGTCTACCATGTGCACGTTTGTCTTAAGTTTTATTTCTTCTTGTACGCTAAATGAAATGAACAAGCTTAGAGTAAAAATTTTCAAAAATGTGCTCCAATTCTAGCTAACTATTCATGGTCAGATTTCATGTTCTGTTATCAAAATGATGGGAAAATATGAATTTAACAAACCTAAATAAAATGTCTATCTTGGATGACCACGTCTTTTTGTGTAAACTTGAACATATGCAATACTCGTATATACTGTATATGAGAATTCAAAGCTTTTAAAATTATTGATGATATGGCGTTATATGAGTTTCCTCTATCTTCGGCTTGCAAAATGAACAATAGATCTAGATAAATCAATGTACTTGTAATGATGGATATTCTTAAACCTATTTTGTGATAAAATTTTTATAAAAGCTTTTCTTCTGCTTGATTCCGGTTATTATTTTAAAACTTAAAAGGAAAAAGTAAGTGCGATTTACAAAAAAAATCAAATTTCCCATTAAGTTATTTTCACGTTTCGTTTTAAAAGAAAAGCATCAATAGCCTCTTGTAATTTTAGAGTAGTTTAATGTAATTTTCGATTATTTGAAATCACTACATGACGTAAAGATCGTAGTGTTAACTCACTTGTTTGACTGACATAGCAGACAGGAAGTGGCCTCTATAAGAACATAGAGAGCTGTCTGAACACACGTTTTCTTTGTATTCACTTGTATACACGTGGTCTTAGACGTTAATGGAATGCCTTGTTTCAGTTTTTAGGAATAATTAATTTGAATTATTGATGACCACTTTCTGGTAAGCTTTGTAAAGATTTTCATTTACTGTATATTTCTATGGTACAAAATTGCTGTAATTAAGAAAGGAAATATAGTTTTGGATTTTTTATATTGAGCTGAAGAATTCAAATATTGATGAAATCAGCTACTTTTCAGTTTATACCATAAAAATGAAACTTTTAAGTTTCTTTACCAAAATTTTTATATATATTTTTAATTTTATTATATATAGATCTTTTGCCTGACATTTTTATACAATGGCAGTGCCAGTCACCCAAATACCCCCTATACATCTATAAGGAAGTTTTATGGTTGACAATGTTTTCACACCATTTTCCGGTTGTATAGTATTTTACTTCCAATGTATGTCAACAAACACCACAATTTAGGTCGTTTTGTGAACGTCGTGTTTTGTTGAAAATTGACAGGTTTTGGCTAGTATTATTCGAGAATGAATTCACTTAGTTATTATTTTTATAAATATTTTTATAATGAAAATACTAGAGTATAAATGAAGGTTTTATTTTTCATCAGACATCCGTTTTCTTTATTTTCGGAAACGTTTCATCTTACATGTACTTATTTCATTTGTTTTAGCTAGACCGTGAAATTAGGGATCAGATTTTCAATGTATTGCTATTTAATTTCTTTTGTGTATTTTTACCAAAAACTACAAAATTAAATACATGCAAGTATTAAGAAGTTCGATAATATTGAATGACTAATAATGGAAATTACAGTGCTTTGCTATTTAATTTCTTTTTTTGGTTTGTGGAAGTTGATATACGGCCCTAATTTTTTATGACCTGTATCAACATGATCAATGATATTTATGTTTGTTTGATTTGTTATATCATAAATACATGTAACTTACCTAAAGTTGATCATATATATTCATGACCACGAGGGAAGAGTTTTAATCTATATTTACTTTTTACACAGGATATGAATTTTTATGTTATCTGTTGGCCTTCAATCAAATATACTAATATATTTTCAATCCAGCACATCACCTGTTCATCTTGTGAATAGGTCATTGGATATTCAATCTTCTTCTTTCAGGTTTTCCACCATGACCGTTGACTCTGAGGATGTTTATAAGAAACCAGGATGGGGTCGATGGCAGTACTTAGTGGTGTTTGTATGTTCTTTACTTTTCTTCGGAGTCGGAATTGGTATAGGTTATGCCATTGGTCAGAACCAATCGGAGCAAACAGTTCCACAAGGAGGAGACAGTGCCCCGGTGACAGCCACAGATCCACCCAGGTAATAAAAAATGTGGGTTGGGGGTGGGGGTTTAAAAAAAAATAAAGATTCAGAACTTCCCATAAATGCTTTACATGACCTTTTTAAATTATATAACTGATTTACCTGAATTTTACGAGGGTTGATTCAAAAGTTATGTCACACCTGCTATAAATACTCAAATGGTCGATAGTTTGCAACAGAACGTAATATACTTATACTTCTTTCTATTTTTGACTTTATTCATTCAAATTTCCCCAAATAAAAAGTGATTATTTTTTGTCAATTTTTATGATGTGTCATATGGTGATAACAAAAAGCATTCAAAAAAGGTAAATAAGCAGCAAAAAAATGACCGAGGTGGGAGCGGAGGAGTGGTGAGCATTTCCTGTCGAATTGTCACACCCGCCGTCTGTTCCTTGTCACGATTTGGAAAAAAGAAAAATGAAATAACGTTTCTACAGAAAACGTCAATCAACTTTTCTCAATGATAGGTAGTCACTGTGTCGACCATAAAACTTGCAAAATTATAAATTAAACGAGACATCTGATTTTGAAGATTTTATAGCAGTTATGAAATTACTTTTTGGGTCAACCTTTTTGGTAGTTTTTTTTTGTTCAGTGCTAGTTCATGTATATTAATAAACTTAAAAATCAGCATGGACGATTAAATAAAATTACAATACTAGTATTTAACCTGAGTATATAATTGTATCGCGTTAACTTACTGACCCATTGTGGTTTAGGTTTGTGGTAGTGGTTTGCCTGTTATACTCTTTAATCATGCGTTAAAACGTAAAATGGCACACTGCCTTTTCTGATAGCTGAATTAAGTTTATAATTTTGTTAAAGATAGATAGCCTTTCTATCATTAATTTTTAATGGACACTTAACTGTCTTTGGCATTTTGTCGCTTTTCGCCACTTAAATTTTCATGAGTCGTGGGAGACATAGAAAATGCCAAGTTGCACAAGGTAGACTTTTCAAATAAAAATTAAAGTGCAATTTAACTTTACAAACCATTAAGATTTATTGTCTTGCATGTTTCAATGATAGAATTCAGTAGAATTCGTGTATTTTTTGCTGAAGTCTGCAATTTTCGTGATGTTAGATGTTCAAATTGGCAAACCGACATTGAGGGAGGGCAAAATTGAGGACTTGAACGAAAATTTAATCTTTTTATAATCATTCTTGAATTACCTTCCTTTTCTGTCTGTGGAATTCAAACTTTCAGATTTTTAACTTGAGCTGTTTATTGAAGCTATTTTTCCGATTCTTCGCTCAATTTTGTGATCTGTTTTGAAAATTAAGTAAATATGTTGGTAAGATAAAGATTTTACACCTCTTTATGCGCCATTTGCTGAAACTCAAGTCGTAATACCAACTTATTTTTAAAGAGGTTTACAAATTTTTAACATGATGTTTATGAAAAATTTTCAAACAATCAGCCTTTATACATGTATATTGCAAAATACTTATCAAATATCATTGTTTATAGATATATTTCTCAATTTAATATACATGTATTTCATTGTTTATATAAATGTACCGTTTGATCAAAACTATTTAATGTGTCAATTAACTACGCCTTCTCTTATTTTTTCAAGGTTGTCAAATCCAGTGGAAACCATTCGAAGCCATATCAACAAAGAAAATATCAAACAAAACCTTAGGTAATTATGTAAATTAACATATTGTTTTTACTCTGTTTCTTATTATTATTATTATTATTATTTTTCTTCTTCTTCTTCTTCTTCCTGGGTACTTTTTTGTCTGGGAATTAAACTATTTGAAATGTTTTTAGGGTCAATGTTATGTAGATTTGCGGAACATCAAAAGAGCGTGCCATGTGTAATGACCGATTTAATTGATATAGCCTTTTTAAATTTTTGATGAAATGCTTTGAAACTTATAATATAATATATTAGTAGCATAGACAATATGACATGGTCTTACGTGCGCTTTGCTCTGATTGGCTGAAACTAAAGTAATTCTTTCTTGTTTTTTGACAAATCCTTTGAAATTTTGAAAATAGCCATGCATTAGGATATTCTACAACATGATATATAGCAATTATCATGAAAACACGTGCATGCACGTGCGCTGCAATTTTGGCTTAAACTTTAAATAGCTATAACTCCCTGATTTTCAACCAAACAGGATGGGATTTGGAACATAGATAGATATACTGGACTACTACAAGAAAATATGGTCACCATGCACATGCATACATGTGCATGTACGTGCACGGCAATCTGATTGGCTGAAACTTTAAACAGCTATAACTCCCTTGGTTTTCAACCAAACGGGTTGGGAAACGGACATCTACAAGAAGGTATGGTCACCATTCTCATGTATGCTCGTTCGTGCACGTGAAATGAGTAAAATCCAAAATACACTTGAATGAGCGTATTTTTTAATACTTTTGGATTAAATACTTTAATATTAAGTATATTAAAATATATAGATTGTGTAGACAAGATGATATGGTCATTACGCACATGCATTCACATGTGCACGCGTGCAATGCTAAAATTTGAATGAACTTTGTACACTTCTTGGTAAACGTTTTTAAGTCTCAAATGCATCGAGTTTGTCTAATTTAATGAAGCTTCCAGGGAATATGGCACCAAAAGGGAGTTGGGGAGCGTTTGGGGAACATCTGTAACGGTCCCCGTTACAATTAGCACTAGTTTACAAATTAAAGTGGTCAGAATAAGATAAACTTTGAATCTTTTTTCCCGTTTACATGGTACAATGTATATCGTTCAAGATAATCTAAAAACGACTTCCGTTCATTATCTTTGTTGAAAGAGATAAAGAAAAGAGATAATATAGTTTTTCATCTTGACTTTGTAAAAAGATTTAGAATTCACACAAGATACAACACAACAAGGATAAAAGGATTCTTCTTTCAAAGAAATGCTATCTCTATGTTAAATATGAAAGACGAATTCGAAATATCTTTCTTCAAAGGTTTGTTTATTTACATTTTAAATACGGTTCACACATTTTCTCTTCGTGGTTTGAAAAAAATTTGGGTTCGTATTTGATTTCGTGGAAACTTTTTAATGAAAATTTACATTTTTGGACATAAATTCGTGATACCACGAAAACAACGAAAATTAAACCCCCACGAAAGTTAGTGATTTCACAGTGTATATTTGTCTGATATGACAGAAATTATGTTCAAATTCGACAAGTTGTTTTGCAAAAATTTAAAACTTTTTAGTGGGAAACAAGAATACGGGGGAAAATCTAATCACTATAATTATTTTATATGAATGTTGTTAAAACTTACAATCACTGAGTTGAAAGCTACTCACATTCTGTTTCTGGAAACAGAAAATTCACAAGCCGTCCGCGCATGTCAGGAACTCCAGGAGGAGATGAGTTGGTGCAGATTTTGCACGACACTTGGAAATCCTACGGCATTGATGAGGTCAAAACTACACCATATGACGTATTGATGTCGTACCCTAATAAAACAAATCCAAATAAGGTTTGACCAGTTCGTAAAGACCAACACATATGAACAATTTGAGATAAGACATACTGAGTTTTTTGATGCCCAAAGTATCTGTAATTCAATTTCAGGTCCAGCTTCTGACGTCATCAAATGAGTTAGTTTTTCAGTCTGCTTTGTTTGAGCCAGCTTTGGACGATTTGAGTAACAATTCCGAAATCATTCCACCATTTAATGCTTACGCAGCGGCAGGTATAAGTGAGGTAGAGGAAATATTAAATTTCTAGTTAACCTAAATATGGCAACTCCCTTCTAGTAATGATGTTATTTACTCTTTTCCTTCAGTACAATTTCAATGTATAGGGCACCCATATCTAAGATAAATATGAAAAATGTATAATGTGTTCTTGAACCAACAAAGTAAATTAAAAATAATAATAAACTAGGTTAAGATTTAATGTCACTTTGCCATTTTAGTGTAAAAAAGTAATTTATGATCAGACGATCATTTCCAGAAAGTTTACATACACTGTATGCTTAGTTTTAAAATAAAAAAAAAAGTTTTTCAGCTGTCACTATACTCTCTATATTATTAATTGTTGATATTATATAATATAACATTGAATCTATTGGATCCCTTTAAGACAAGGAAACAAAGTGACATTGATTAATTTTCAATTTTTGTTTAACGCGTATAATTCTAATAAAATTCACTTTTCGTCGTAATAAAAAAGACAAAACCAGCTGTACATGTACTTTGTTGCGTTGAATAATTTGGAGATAAAGAGTTCAGGAGGACCTAAGGGTTCCAATTTTTTTTCATTTCTGTTTGTTTAATGTGCATGTATTAGATAAACAGTACAGATATATCAGATACTAATGTAATTTTTTTGTTTGCTTTTGAAGGGTGATCTGGTCTATGCCAACTATGGCCGGATAAAAGATTTCCTATATCTCATAAACAATAAGTCCATGGACCTGAAGGGCAAGACAATAATCGCAAGATATGGCAAGATCTTCCGCGGTGACAAGGTACACCAAATTGCACGTGCATTTTACTGCCAATTATCAGGGTTTGATTTAAGATTTCCTCTTGGCTCTTAATCACTATGCGGTGGTCAGAAGCATTTACTGCTCATTAGCTTTCTTAAGCTTACTGAACTCATTAAATCGCAGGAGGTGGGGGTGGGGGCATCACAACCTTATGCTCTTGAGTCATCAAGTAGAGCTCTCCAACAAAATATATATAGAGCA